GCTGCTCCCCTCCTCCTGTGGATCGATACAGGAGGGTACGCTAGTACCCGCTAGACCACCCACTGCGAGACCCCAAACGACCCAATTTCCCCATATTGGGTTGAGAGGGAACCGTAGGGTGATCGAGGGTCGCGAGTGAGCACTCGAGAAACGGACCGAGAGGTCCGTAGGAACTGCCAATACTGCAAGCAAGTTTTAGGAAAAGAAAGTAAAAGGGCAGAGGCCCTGAAATCAAGAAAATATGTCCTAAACAGAAGGGGGAAGGATCCGCAAGGAAAAGCAAGCTTACTAAAAGATTACGCGGCACCGAGAAAGGATCTACGCCGGCTACAAGCTGCTAAATCCCATAACGGCCGACGAATGCAGATCCAGTGTAAGCCTACAAACCCAAGACGGCTAAGGAAACAAGGAGCCAGACGTATGTGAGGAAAGCAAAGTTACTATTGGACTACTAAACTTGGAGGTAACGGGAAATACCCAGAGAGACTTTGAGACATTAAATTTGCGGAACTGGGGAATCCCAGCCAAAAATATCTGCCAGGAGAGGGACGAAGGAACAAAGCTCCAAACCCACCCAGGCAGATCAGCCGGGACTTCTCTAGCCGGGAGATTAAATACACAAACAGAGGATATTTTTGAAGGACAACCACAAAGGGAGAAAAGAGAAGAGGAAGGAGGGAAGGGGGAAGACCCTAATTTAACCCCACCAAAACTTCCAAAATCCCAAACAGAAAAAGTGAAGGAAGCAGAGCTTACTTGTGAGTAAAGAACAAATTACCCGCGTGAAGACCCTGGCCTCCGTGCGAGGAGAAAGGAGCGGAGTCGGGGCGGAGCCCGAGAGACACACGCCGAAAGCCGCACGGTCGCAGACGCCGACGTCAAGACGCAGAGGAAGAAACGCCACGTAGCTGGGTCAATATACGCAAGGCGCAATTGCGTCACCACGCGGCGCCACGTAGCGTAGCGACACCACAGCGCCACGTCCAGCGAGGAGGCGGAACTAAACCCAAACCCGGAAGTGGACTACACCGGAGAAAAGGTACTGGAGAAGACTAAGACTGAGGAAAGAGTGAAAAAGAGGAGACAGCAGAAAGATCGAAGGCAGACCAGAAGGGACAGAAGAGGAGCGGGAGACGAGGACAACATAGACTGTAAAGGACTCCAAAGGACTGAAAAGGACTAAAAGGGACTCAAACCACAACAAGGTGGGAACTCAATAAAATTCGTACATTACATCAAATAACCTATAAAAATAACAGTAATATTTAACAATAACAAATAAAAATTAAACTAAAAAATAACAATAACAAAAATAACAATTATAATAAAAAAATAAAAATAAAATAAATAACAAAAATAAATAAAAAAATATATATATATAAAATAAATAAATAAACAAATAAACATATATAGAGAAAAAGGGAAAAAAATAATAATAATAATAATAAAAATAAAATAATAAAAATAAAAATAAAGAAATAAATAAAATAAATAAATATATAATAATTAAAAAACAAAAAAACAAAAAAAATTAATAATAAATAATTAGATAGTAAAAGTATGTCGGCCCAAAAAACAAAAATGGAAAAAGAAACAATTGACCCTAAAATGTTGGGAAGAAAAGGATCAGGCCAGGAGGAAAACCCTTTGAAAGGTATATGGAAAGAACTGCAGAAGATAGCCGAAAAAATATCAGAAAACCAAGAGGCAAACCAAAAAGAACTGAAAACAATAACTGAGAGACAAATTAGCCACCAAACACAACTAGACCTAATAAGGAAAGAACTCAAAGAAGACATAGGACAAATAAAAAAAGAATTAACAGAAGCTAGTAGTGAGATAAAAACGATAAAAACAGAAAATAAAACATTAGTAAAATTTCAGAAAAAAACACAAAGTAATCTGGAGGAATTACAGAACAAAAATGAACAGTTAGAGAGAGAACTAGAAAGACTACACCAGAAGGAAACAGAATATTACCTAAGATTTAGAAACCTGCAAGAGGAAGCACAAGAAGATCTCCGACCTAAAATAATAAACATGTTAGCAACTTACTTAGGTAAACAAGAGGCTACCATGGAAAAAGAAATTGACCGAACTTATCGGGTTCAAACAAGATTTGCCAAACAAAATAATCTAACAAAAGATGTACTAGTTAGTTTTACACGAAAACACACAAGAGACGAAATTCTTACCCAAACTAACAAGAACCCAATAATAAGAGAGGGGGAAAAAATCATAGTTCTAAAGGAAACCCCACAAGCAGTACTAACACGAAGGAAAAAATACTTTTTCCTCACGCAGGAACTCAAGAGAATTAAGGTCAGATTCAGGTGGGAGAAGACAGAGGGAATGATGATAACATATAATGAAAGAAAATATTGGATTAAAACTGAAGAAAAAGCTAGAGAATTTTATAACATGTTAAAGAGAGAACAATCAAGTGAAGGAGAGGACAAATACCACAAAGCAGGCAGATTAATGAAGAGACCAAGACCACCATCCTCAGAGGAAGAGGAACACAAGCTAAACCAAGCAACAGCACTACAGGAAGAGAAAGATGAGGGAGATCTGGAGGAGGAGGAGATAGAAGAAATAACAAAAAATGATGATGTCTGAACAAAATTTGCATATTTATTCGTTGAATGTAAATGGACTTAATTCCCCATATAAAAGAAAGAGACTATTTCATCAATTAAATAAAGGCAATTACCACATAACGGCATTACAAGAGACTCATATTTGTAACAAACATATCGCGTACCTGGCACAGAAGAAACTTGGCAAAGAATACTACTCCTCATTCGAGAAAAAGAAGAGAGGAGTCGTGATCTATGTCAAAAGGGAAATCCCCTCGGAATTAGCGTTCAAGGACCAAGAGGGTAGGATGGTAGCGATCAGGATATTTATGGGTAACAAGAAAACACTAATCTGCAATATATACAGCCCAAACGGGCCAAAAACAAAGTTTATAGACTCCCTAAAAGAAAACATTCAGAAAATAGACTATGATAATCTAATAATAATGGGAGATTACAACGGGGTACTAGATAAAAAGCTGGATAAATCTCCAACAAATTCAAAACATACTAAAGCAACCAAAGCCCTACTACCAAAGAAATTCTTAAGCCTTAAAGAAGATCTAAATCTCCACGACGCGTGGAGACACTGCCACCCTGGAGAAAGAGACTATACTTTTTATTCATCTCGCCATAAGACATGGAGTAGGATAGATATGATATGGCTAACAAACTCTCTAACAATCAACATCCATAAAATACAAATAAGACCCAGAGACCTATCGGACCACTGCCCGATAACAATGGAACTCTACAACAAACCAGAGAACAGAAAATGGCGTCTCAATGAAAACCTACTAAAATTAGAAGAAGATATCTTAAGAAATAAAGAACTAATTAAAGATTATTTTAACATTAACGATACAGGTGAAGTATCACCCCAGATAGTCTGGGACTCCCTAAAGGCAGTAATGCGAGGAAATTTAATTAAACAAAATACCATTAAAAACAAAATAAGGAATAAAGAAATGATAGAAATTGAGAAAGAAATGGCGGAGAAAGAACAAACACTGAAGAAGGACCCACAAAACGATCTTATAAATACAAAATTGAACAGGCTGAAGAGAAGGAAACACCAGCTGGACCTGGAAATAATTGCAAAAAAGTATAAATACGTAAAACAACAACAATTTGAACAGGCGGACAAGCCAGGTAAGTGGCTTGCCAGGAAGGTAAAGAGAAAGAAACAGGCAACATATATAACAAAGATTAGAAAAGGAGAAAACTTAATAACAACTAATGGGGCAATACAAGAAGAATTTCATAATTTTTTTGCAGGTCTGTACTCAAAA